TGCCTGCCCCTGCCTCCCAAGTGCTGGGATTAAAGGCATGCGCCACCATGCAGGACTAAATAAAATATTTTTTAAAAAGTAAAATAGGGGGCTGGAGCGATAGCTTAGTGGTTAAGAACACTGACTGTTCTTGCAGAAGACCCAGGTTTGAATCCCAGCACCCACATGGCAGCTAACAACTGTCTGTTAGTCCAGTTCCAGGGGATTTGACAGCCTCTTCTGTCCTCCATGGACACTGCAAGACACGGGTGCATTTACTTACATGTAGGCACAACACTCATATACATAAAATAAAAATAATAAATAAAATATTAAAAAATCAATAAAATAAATCAATAAAATCTTAATGTAATTTTGGGCTGGAAAGACGAATGAATGGCTAAAAATGTTTGCTGCTCTTCCAGAGGCGAGAGGTTTGCCTCCCAGCATAGATGTCTGGTTGTTCCCAACTACCTGTATCTCCAGCTCTAGGGGCCTTTTGGTCCCTGCAGGCATCTGCACACAGGTACATGTATAAACAAACCTAAACCCCTGCTCCTACTCAATACTCATAAGTAAAAATAAAGCTGTTAAAAATTTTTATATGTATCAGTGTTATGCCTTTATGTATGTAAGTGCACCCATGTTGTGCAGTGCCCAACAAGGACTGAAGAGGGCATTGGATCCCTGGAACTGGAGTTATGGATGGCTATTAGCCACCATGTTGGTGCTGGGAATCAAAGCCAAGTCTTCTGCATGAGCAGCCAGTGCTCTTAACCACTGAGCCATTTCTTCAGCCCACCCAAAAAATAAAGCTTTAAAAAATGGTAGACAGCCGGGTGTGGTGGCGCAGGCCTTTAATCCCAGCCCTCGGGAGGCAGAGGTAGGCAGATCTCTGTGAGTTCAAGGCCAGCCTGGTCTACATAGTGAGTTCCAGGACAGCTGGGGCTTGTCTAAATAAATAAATAAATAAATAAATAAATAAATAAATAAATAAATAAATAAATAAATAAGGTAGAGAGCAACAGAAGTACCCATTGTGGACCTCTAGCCTCCATACACCCCAACACAGGCGAGCACACCTGCACACACACACTCACACACACACACACACACACACACACACATACATACATATGCACTTACACATATAAATAAATAATTATGTTTAAAAAAGAGGAATAAAGTTTTGTAATGATTTGGTACATTTCTTATGGGAATATAAAATACTGCAGCCACTGTAAAAATAGTTGAACATTTTGTCCTAAAGTTAAACTTAAGACATACCTGGAAGTGGAGATACAGAGTCTATGAAGGTGGTTTTCCCAAGGTCAATCTTATCTGTTGCCCTCTGGTTCTGCTGACCCCTGCAGCTTCCCCAAATGCGGCCGATTTTATTCCATGATTTGGATTAGTGGAGATCTGAGTTTCCACTCTACCCTATTAAAAAAAGGTAAATATACAATTATTAGCTGACCCAGAATTGCACCCTAAGATAGGGTATATACCCCCCAAAATTGAAAACAGTTCAATGAAAAAACCTTTTAAAATATTCTTCAGAGAAGCGGAAAAAAAAAATTGTTTTGAAGCACTACGTAGTCCTGGCCATGAGGACAAGGCAGCGATCCTCCTGTCAGTGCTGGGGTGACAAGTGAATACCACTTGCCCATGGGAAAACTTCCTTCCTTCCTTCTAGATTTGTTGGAGCTGTATAATAAAAGATTTAAAAAAACAGAAATTCATTAACACGTCATGTATACATTGCTGCATCTCACAGCAACATAATTCAAAAGTTTGAGTTTATATAGCTTTATAACAAAGGAATAATAAATGAAGAGAGACATGCCTGATGTATTCCTATCTTAATTCAAAACAAAACAAAAAAGTAAACATAAATTAAGCATCTTGGCCTAGGTTTCTAATCCTAGCCTTTCAGGTAGAAGAATCTCAAGTTCAAAGCCTCTCTGGCCATGTAGTGAGACCCTGTATCAAATGTACAAAGAGAAATGGAGATATAGCTCAGTAATAGGCCAGATGCTGGAATTATCAACTACTATAATCATAGCTGAAGAAAATAAAGGTGAACATTCGTGACACAAATGATACAAAATTTCAGCAGGGAATAAGCACGCACACACATACATACACACACACACAACACACACACACGCAAAGAGAAATATCAAGACAAAAATTGTTCAAGTTTCTAAGTAAAGCAAACTATGGAAGATTAATAGATTAACATATGGTAGAAAATGTAATTAATGAAGTAAGATTTCTGGCTGAGGCTACTAGAGGTGGGTAATGCCTACATTCTCAGCATTTGGCAGGCAGGGGAAGGATTGCTACAAGTTCGAGGTCACCCTGGTCAATCTAGCAATTTCCAGTACAGCCAGGCTTTCATATTGAGATTTTGTCTTCAAAGTCAAAACAAAAAATTTTTTCTTCTTTATACGCTTCAGGTGCAGTCTGTTGGAAAATCTCCAAAGAAGTTTTGAGACAGGGTCTTGCTGTAGTCCCAGATGCCCTGGAATTTGCTATGCAGAGCAGTTTAGCCTTGAATTTACAGAAATCCTCAAGCCTCTGCCTGCTGAGTTTTGGGATTAAAGGTGTGTGCCACCACACCGGTTAAAGAAGACATTGGTAATCTACCATTAGGTAAAAAGAGAGGGGGTTAAGAAAGCTTTTCTTGCCTAATTGTCTTTGGCTCAAAGTAATCCTCAAATGAAAAAGGAACATTTTGTTGTGACATTCTGATTTCCTTTAGAACTGTTAATAAAAGTTAAATGTATAGATAAACCAAATCAACTGATGTTCTAAACATGTATTGTTTATATTGTAAAAGACTAAAATTGGGTGGAAGGCATAGCTGACTTCTTGATTAAGATCACTTACTGCTTTTGCAGAGAATCCAGGTCCATTTTCCAACATCCACATCAGGTGGCTCACACACTTTGTAACTCCAATCCCAGGGGATCTGATGCCCTCTAGCCACCACAGGCAGCTGCATGCCCATGGCACATATAAATTCATGAAGGCACACGCACATACACAGATAATAAATAAATCTTTTTTGGGGGGAGGGTGGTCTTTTTTGAGACAGGGTCTCCCTGTAGCCCCAGCTGGCCTGGAACTATGTAGACCAGGCTGGCCTTGAACGCACAGAGATCCACCTACTTCTGCCTCCTGAGGGCTTGGATTAAAGCTGTGTGCCACCATGCTCAGATTAAACACATTTTTTTCAATGATGTTTGTTAAGCATGATAAAGCCTTTATTCATGAACATTTTTCTAGGTAAATGGAGCACTGCAATTACTGTTTTATTTTGGTTTCCCTGTATAGCCCCAAGGGCCTGAAACTCACTGTTAAGGTTCAGATAGCCCTACCCCCTCACCAACAGGGTCTCAAGGGTTTCTCAAGATCCTGAGAAAAGGGAACCTAGCCCATAAGCACCATCGTCTTTGAAGTCAAGAGAAGCAGACTTTACTGTTTGGCCAACACAGCAGGCTTCCCCTTTGACCTCTAAAGAGGACAGGTTTTAACAGTCCCACTCTCCCTCTTCCCCCTGCCCAGCTTTAAAAAAATATACATCTTCCTGCCTTCTGTAGGAAGCAGAAGACTCCCCCCTTAAAATACCCCAGCTCAGGACCTAGGCAGACATTTTCCCTGCCCGGAAGGGAATCTGTCCCATATGTTCCCTTGCTAATAAACTATTCTGATGGTGTTTTATCTGTGTCCTGGTGCTTTCCCCTGATCAACTAGATTCATCAATAGGCTACTTTATCTATCACTCCCTTAGTAGACAAGGCTGGCCTCGAACTCAGAGAGATCCACCTGCCTCTGCCTCCCCAGAGCTGGGATTAAAGGCATGCCCCACCACGCCGGGCCCAAACCGTGATCTTTCTGTTAAACTAATCATGTTTCACTTTAGAACACAGGATGCAACCGAACATTATTGTTCCAAGAAATGGAATTAGATTTAAAAGACCCAAGATGGCGCCACCCCGCCCCGAGGACCACGTGACCGTTCCCTCCTGGCCTAGCCTCAAGAGCGCGTTTCCCTCAGAACTGATCCGGGACCACCTGTTCATTGTTAAGCACCCGCTCCAGCTCCCGGGTGTAGGGAGCGTGCCGGGAGCGCGCGCGCAGAACGTTCCGCCAGGAGCGCGCGCGCAGAACGTCTTGCCGTAAGCGCCGTTCCTTCTGGAGATGGGTTGGAGGTGCGGCGCAGAGGAAGGGGGGGTGCTGGCGCATGCGCCTGAGGTTGACGGGTTTGAAATGGCTTCGGCGTTAGCCCGGTCCCTGCTCAGGTGAAGGTCTGGTCAGCGCTGTGGTTTGGAGCTGTGGGCGGTCGCGTCCGGGTCCTTCCGCTCCCGCGCGGCGGGGAGTGCGCTCTGAGGTGGCGTGGTGGCGCGGCGCGGCGTGGCTGTAGGGAGATGCGCAGGGACGGACGCGGCCCCTTTTGTGCGGGTCGTAGCAGGCCCGCCGCCCTTCCCCCACCGCGGTTCCCCGCGGTCTTCAGGTGCTGAGCCGGCGGCCTCAGGCCGGGACCAGCCCGGTGTGGCGGGGTCGCGGGGGCTTCCGAGGAGGATGGAGGCTCCCTGGGCCCGGCCCGAGGGCTCCGGGTCCCCGTGCGCGCTGCGCTGGGTGGCAGCTCCTGGGGACGGCGAGAGACCGGGGCGGGAGGAAGATGGATGCCCCCACCCCCACCCCGGATACCGGCTCCGCGGTGCCGGCCCCTCACCGCCTGGTCTCCCGGGCCTTGGGGAGGGGTCCTCGGCGTGGCTCACGAGTTCTCTCAACCGCCTTTCAACAGTGAGGGACCAGGGTGACAAAGGCCAGAGTGACTTCTCCAGTACCGACTAGACGATGATCGAAATGGTCTTCGTCCGTGCCTCGGCCTTTAATCGGGGGATCTTGACTCAGTTTCCAGGATTGATTTCCACCACTACTGTGGTCTAAATCCATTGCCCAAAGAAACATCCAAGGCTCTGTGACTGTGAAGTTGTCCACTTCTTGTTTATTATTTCATCAATTATATTTATAGACTACGTCTGGCGGTGTAGCCCCAGCTGGCCTGGAACTCACTATGTAGAACAGGCTGGACTGGAACTTACAGAGATGGGCCTGGCTCTCCACCTCCTTGATGCTGGGATTAACGGCATAGGCCACCAAGCCTGCTGGCAAGGCTTTTTTGAATAATGTCACTATGTCACAGAAAGAAGTCTAAGTCCCCCAAGGATATCTTTGAAGTAGGGTACTTCCTATTGATCTTGTTGATGTAATGTTTTTGTAGAATTTCAGATATTCCTTTGCATACAAATTGCATTTACATGCCCTTGATAATATTAAGCAATTCTTTAAAATACCCTTAGGTGATATTTGTAATTGAAGTTTGAAATATGAATCCTTTCTTAATAGATTGCTGCTCTAGAAGAGAAACAAGTGAAGGGAGTTTTCCCCTTGCATCATGGCTCAGTTTGGAGGACAGAAGAATCCGCCATGGGCTACTCAGTTTACAGCCACTGCAGTGTCCCAGCCAGGTCAGCCTACTGAATAATTGTACTGTAAATGTGTGGAGGGGGCCCTAGTACAGCAGTGATTTAGATTCATGGTATGGTGAAATGTTTGCAAATGTTTATTTTTTAAAATACTTTAAAAAATGATTTCATGGGGCTGAACATGGTGGTGCAAGCCTTTAATCCAGCATTTGCCAGGCAGATGCAGGTGGATCTCTGTGAGTTCGAGGCCAGAGTTCGAGGCCAGCTGGGGCTACAGGGAGACCTTGTCTCAAAAAGACCAAAAAAAAAAAAAAAAAAAAATTGCATCAACTAGCAAAACTGCTTACCCATCAGAGGAAGCAGAGGATGAAGAAGATGGTATGTACAACCATCTGCAGTACTTTTTAGGATTGAAAACACTTTTTTGGAGGGGGTGGTTTAGACAGGGTCTCCCTGTAGCCCTAGCTGTCCTAGAACTATGTAGACCAGGCTGTCCTTGAACTCACAGAGATCCACCTGCCTCTGCCTCCCGTGTGCTGGGATTAAAGGTGTGCGCCACCAGGCCCGGCTATTTTTTTGGTTTGAATGCACACTAAGGTTTCTTCATACCTTCATACACAACATGTCACTATACATTGCTCTCATCTGTCTGCCCCACTGTACTTGCCTATTGTTTTTTGTTTGTTTCTTTTGTTTTCCTTTTAAGACCCCCGTTTTTGTTTGTTTGTTTTTCTTTTGAAGTCTCTTGTAGCCTAGTCTGGCCTGGCCTCCCAACTAGTAGCAGTCCTCTTGACTTAGCCTCTTTCCTGCATAGTGGGATCACAGGCATGAGTTACAACACCTGGCTTATAGTTTTTCATGTTTTAAATTGATTATCCTCTAATTGATTTAATAATGTTGTAGGTCACTAATTCTATAGAGAGCATGTATATCTCCCATGCTGG